TAGGTCACTTATTTAACAACTATCCAATAGGGAATGGGCATATTGTATTTGTCCATAAATAGACCTCAGATTTAGCTCACTTATTTAACAACTATCCAATAGGAATAGGCGTATCACATTTGTCCATAAATGGACCTCAGATTTATGATTCATAATTCGCACTTGATCGATTTTGTTAAAGATTCCAACTTTTAGCAAGTTCACCCTTTTACATAAATGCATTACAAAACAGTTTTTGTTGTTGTTGTTTTCATGGTTCTTCGTGCACAAGATATGTACACTATGTTTATTTCCTTTCAGAATACCAATCCGTTCTGGAGGCCAAGCACTTACATGAACTGAACGATTATCAATTTCATTTATGTATTTCCATTTTGTATTTTATTATTTTATGCAGGCAGTGGAGCAGTTCTTCAGGTTTGCTTGATTTTCACCATTACCTTTGAAGTAGACTCTTCTTTACTTTTTGCTTGAGGGCGACTCAAGAGGCAGGTGAGTAAACACCTGATAGCCGGTCTGAGCATGGAAAAATCGTACCTCACCAACATGGTGTTGGGTAGCCTGCTCGCGGCACTTCCTCAGATATTCTTATTTCACATTCTCACACTTTCTCTTGAAAGCACGCAGCAAACCGTCAGCGATAGTTGTAGAAAAGATCACATGCTACAAAATAAGATGACAAGCTGGTAAATGAAGAGACATCCATGGACTATCATTGAAGGCGTTAGTCGTAACTGATTGTAAGTCAAATAGTGAGCGAGTTGATAATTTCGCCTTGAGATGAGATATAGAACTAAGGTGTTTTCGATAGATAGGTTAATCGAACCGACGTTCCTACGGAAGTCGATTCTAGGGGGAAGCTAATGTAACAGCTCAGGTTGGTTGTTTAAGAGTTGACCCCAAACAACCAAGCATATGCTAAAACAGTATTGTTCAAGTATTCATTCACTTCCTTACCTTTTGTAAGCGTTATATTCCCTACTATCTTATATGGAATGTTGAGAGCCTTTGTTTGTCTGAACAGATAACCCCACGCTTCACTGTGACTGCGCGAAGATCGAAATAAAGACCTATTAAATACTTCTCTGGTTTCTTCTATCAATAGCACGAGGGTTACCTATAAGCACGAAAACCCCACTGGTTGCATTCACAGGTTTGGAGTAGTAAGACCCAAAGCGGACAGTTTGGCTACGTTCCTCTAACAATCATTTTAGTCAAAATAAAATGGGATTCTGTATTCTAAATGGAGAGAGTCTTAGAGGAAGAAATTCATATGAGGGTCTTTAATTTGCAAGGAGTTGTACCGGAAAATACGGATCCTGACCATACAGACTCTGATATTCGAGAATGAAAATTCATGAAGCTCAAAAACATACCGGATCAACCAGTGGTGAGATTAGCCAAGAAGGACGGGAATTCTAGGTCCTGTCTAATAAAGACAACTTTCCAATGGCAGCTGAGACTCTGGATGCATTTCGTGTCATTGAACGTCGATTTCCAACTGTTAAACAACATGCACCCTGACAGACTACATGACGTAAGGATCAAGCACAAAGGCAAGTTGAGGTTGACCGTTCCACTTGTGGACTGTCTAGGTCATGAAAAAAACATGGAGAGGACAGAAGCTAGCAACTCGGAAAACCTTGTATCGGTGGGCTACCTGTCCAGTCACATAAGGCTCGTACGGGTAAAAAAAATGGGGAAGCTCACGCGTTTCAAATTGAAAGCATAAACTGCCTAAACGTGAACGCCACGAATTCATCAAATAAAATTTATGAGTTGCGTAAACTCAGTATTACTAATAATGTTCATCTGATGGGGACATCTGAAACTTGGATATCTTCTCAGTTTACAGGTCAGGAGCTAGCAGTGTAGGAATAGTGTCGGAGTAGCCTTATACTTGAGATCTTGCCTGGAGGCACATCAAGTGTACAACTAAGAGTTTTTCAGTTTAGATAAATCTGTATGGTGCTCAGTAAGATTGTCTACGAACTCGAGAATTCTAGTTGGAGTCATCTACAGGAAGCCTACTGCTGACATAGAGTGCAACAATCGTACTCCAGAAGGATTATCCCGCCCTACTCGTCTCATATTCATTCATATCCTGATTCGAAGGGACGTCAATTTCGCGGAACATACGTACATTGAAGGTGAAAACTCAATTGAAGCTCTGTTCCTCAACCTCATTGAAGATCTGGGATTATCGTGAAATCGGCTACTCGCTGGAGAAAGTCAGACACCATGAAGCTTAGACTGGGTATTTACAAACGAAAAATTCTTAATTGACAACCTCTCAATCCTGGCTCTCCCATGGAAAAGCGATCACGCTGTCATAGGTTTTAGTTTTATCAGAAAAACTGAACTGAGACATCCTACCAACAACAGGCACCAGGATTTCAAACTGTTGGATGTGTCAGCTTTATATGCCAATTTACAGTATGTGGATTGCGAAGTTCACCCTCAACTTGATGTGGATGCTCATTATGACGTCTTACTGCACACGATCTTATGTACTACAAGGCAGTCTGTTCTTCAAATGGTCCCCAAAATTTACAAGCAACCTACAGTCTTCGTTTGCTAAGCCGCAAAAGAAACTGTTGGGCCGAATATAAACGAACTGACAGTAACGGCGCGTACAGGCAATACAAACATATAAGGAACATATGCACAAAGGCAATAAGAGAAGACGGTCTTCAGTACCAGATAAAGCTTATCGATAACTTTGTCTGTAATCCGAAAAACTTATTCTGTTATGCAGCTTCTCTCCGATAAGTCAAAAACTGGAGTTTCCCAACCACTAGGTCCTAATGTCCCGACCAACAGCAACAGTGATGTCGCTAACCTTCTGGCTGAACAATACTCTTGGGCATTTCAACCGACTCACATTAACTATATTGATGAAGGACTTTTGGAAACTGGCTCACATCACACTAATTTCTAAAGGAGGTCGACACAACGAACCCTCAAGCTACCGACCGGTGGCCGTTCTCAAGATACCTTCAAAAATTATGGAGTCCCTGATATGTGACGGTGTACATCGCTATTTATTATCCTTAAACTTCTTTTCAACTCAACGACACGGTTTCAGGAAGGGGCATTTTTGTATATCCAACCTGCTGTGAACAGATGTACAGCCATCCTTGATCGCAAGGGGAAGGTTGACGCGATTTATCTTGACTTCTCAATGGCTTTTGATAGGTTTGAAGATACGACTAGTCTTGAAGATTTGAAACTCTAAACCAGTAACACTTTCTATGTTCGAAGCGTTCCCCAACCAGTTGAAATCAGAAGTCAGACAAGAAAGGGTAGGAAAGATATATTTGATACGTTATCAATATATCGAGAAGCGTTTACTCTGATCTGGCTAGCGAACGTAGGAACTGTGTCCCACGTTGGATCGAAACGTGGTCTGGTACGGATGCAAGACCGAAAGCCTCCAGTTAAACAAGACCACTTAAACAATGTTCGGCATCCAATGTGGAACACTTAATGAGCTATTGATTTTGGGGAATTATTTATAGCTACAGATTTACAACAACCCCCCTAGTGAGGTAGTGATCCCACTAAGACGTGACCAGCCAGAAGTTTAAACCCAACGAGCTTGTCGTTGGTAAACACTCTTTTGATAGCTTGCTATGTTTAGCAGCGTCTAGTCGTCTTTCCTTACACTAAGAGACCATAAAGTACAACAAAGTAATAAGGAAACAAAGTACAATAAAAATTGCGCTTCCTTGTATAACTTCGTCGTTCTTTTCCAGGACGGCTGGAAAAGAAAAAAATAGAACACGTGAGTGTATGTCGAATTAAACGTACTTGAATAAGGGCACAAAATGAGCGGGAAAAGAAAATAAATAATTTTATACACTTGAGATAGCGTAAAAGCGATTGTAAAAAATTGTTTTTTTGGTATTTTTATAAAGAAATATATATATATACGCCCATAAGTAAAAAAAATGTTTTTTTTAAAAAATAAATGTATGGAAAACGAGCGTATTAAAATTTTCTTTTTTTCTATAATAAATAATGCAAAGGGGAATTCGAGATGTAGTTTGTGTCCTACGTGCAATAGTCGTTTATATGTTCTGGAAATCTTACCTTTCTTCCAGAACGCCTTGTCTTAAGTTTATCTTTCAACGTTGACGAAGTATCAAGGTGTGTGCCGACTATCGTGTGGGGTACTACGAGTGTGGGAGCCGTATCGTTCGATTGTACCGAGGGAAATTCGATGTAGCAAGGGTTTCCTTTTAAGTACGCTGCTTTCAGACGATCAATACTGATGCTATCGTTCGTGCCGTTCTCATCGACTACATGTTACTTAGGTTCACGTTGAAGAACTTTGAAAGGTCCTTCGTATGCTGATTCGACAGGCCGTCGATGTGAGTCTCGACGAATGAAGACGTGTGTACTATGTCGTAAGTAAGGTTGAACGAAAACATCAGTTGATTGAGGTCGAGTGTGAGCAAGTTTAACTGAACGTATTGCGTTTGTAAGCCTGCTCGTGTAAGAGTTTGGACCCACGTTCAATGAAGAAGCCGAAGGATCCACAAATTCTCCTGTAAGTCGGAGTGTCGTTCCATAAACGATTTGAGATGCAGTGTATCCAATGTCAGCTTTCACTGCACTGCGGATACCTAGCAAGACGAGTGGAAGAGCGTTTGTCTACATTGAACACGATCACAATTCGCTGGGGTACTTTACCAGGGAATTAGTTTGATTTTAGAAAAATAACCGGTTTCCTGTAGTTGTAGGACAATTTTATCTATTGGTTATAATCTAAAAGTCTTTTGTATCTTGCTTCTGAGCTCTTCGTGGTAGTTAGCGATTTTTAGAGTATAGGATGGTTCAAAGTTTAGAAAAGATCGGTAATCTAGCTTTTCAGCCTTTAAAATGTTTTCAAGACGAGTTGAACATAGGTTTGTGAATTTACTATTCTCATTATTAAAGACAGTCTCGTTAACAGTCATGTTATTGATAATTGTACAAACGATCGCAATAACTGCAGATGGTGTAGTTTTGAAAAGGATTTCGTTTTACGATAATTTTGTTAGTGATTTGTCGTGTTAAATGCATCTGTTTGAAAGCAACTTTATGGAGAACGCATCAACAAAAATATTTTTCTGTTTCTAGCTGATAGTAAATAAGCTGAGTTATTTCAAGGTAATAATATTAGCAAATTTGCCAAACTAATATTTGAAATAATATTTCTCTGTGAATAATTTTTATTTATAAGTACAAAACGTGTTTTATTTTTGCATGTAATGGTCATTTTTCCGCAAGTTAAAATATTCAATCACAATATAAGATCAAAATGCGTGGTTGAAACCAAGCTTATTAAAATAAACTTTACGGAAGTTAAAACAGAATACCACCAGGAAGTGAGTGTGCAAATTTGAGACAAAAATGTGTTTAAACTTCAACTTCCGTATCATGACGGCTATGTAAGCCAGTACTCATGGCCTTATAAATGACATATGGAATGTTTTTATAAGTTCATTTTTTGTCGGATCTCAATTCACTTTATTATCATGTGTACAATAAACCATATTTGATTATTGTATCTTTAAATTTGTAAACTAAACTTCCGGAGAATCCGTAACTCATCCAGGAAGAAATGAAATACATTAGCTTCTACATGTTTTAGTTTCTATAGCGGTTCGCGTCTAGTCAGAAGGTGTTTTATGTTCTAGGGTAGCGTGCATCTTGAAGTGAAGAGAGTTGCAAATGAGAGCAAAAGAAAATGTGAGCATGCCATATATAAAGTGCACACAACACACCTACATTTATTAAGGAAAGCAATAGATAACAACTTGAAATTACACAAGACTTGGATGAAGACAATTCTAGGATCGAAACTAGAAGCAGATAGCTCAATATATCATATTTTACGGTTTTATATGACTAGTCTCGTCTTACAGTATGTAAAACAAAGCTTTGCGGATGTGCTGAAGATCACTTTATGTTATTTGTCCAGCAGTAGTGAGTAGAGAAGTTTATTTTAACTCAAAAAATGTTTTCTGTACAGGGCCTTCCAATGTTGCAAGTTCTAGCTTATCTTGAGCTCAGGAATGCTGATTCAATCTGGGTTATGAGAATTCATAAGTACTTCCATTCATATGAACAGGCCAAGGCCATATAAATGGACTCCTTCATGACTGTAGCATCCAAATTTAAAATTACGTAAACTTTGTACCTAATAGGAAAATTTAATACCTCACTTCGTAAAGCATACAATTTTGACAGGCTACAGTATAGCTGAAATATGAAACGGGAAATTCACTCACTTCCTTCACTGGCTTACAAAAGATACCACAACTAACAATATAGTTTCATTAGAAAACCTTTCATTCATTTTCTAGGAGAAAACTGTTGTCCATCTATGCTGTTGAAAAGTTATTAATGGGAAAAAACTGTAGTTTGTCAAATTGCTCCTTGATCACTCTAAAAGTATATGCAAAACGCGAACAGACAGATTATAATATTTTTATGTCAATAAATTTAACAGTAAATAAAGTGAAGAGATTTAGTGGATGTTACTGAGTTTAAAAAGTCACATGGATTGTGTTCAACTTCAATCAACTCGTGAATAAGGCCACAGAATACAGAGAAAACATAAATTTCTCATTTATTGATGTAATGGAGATTAAATTTACTGTATTGTCTTATGCCTTTACAAAAACGCGTGTACAAACACCCTGCAATAAATTGCTGGAAGCTATTAATGTGAATTACTAACTTTATCTTACTGAAAAAATGCACGTGTATTTGATTGTCTGTAAATCAAACTGAGAAATATTGTCTGGTCAAACAAACTTCATGTTATGAATATGGATTTTATGATGATTATTCTGAGACTTAGTTTTATTCTTGTTAACTGGTTAAACATCATAGTGGAGAATGTTCTCTTGAATCACGCGACAAAACTTGATATTGCTGTTAGGTATACATCCACTGTTTGCGGTAGAGCCTTACGTTTTCTCATCAAAAGCAGTTTGAAAGATACATTCCAAACAACTAAAGATATTTGACAATTTCCAGGAGAAAAGATGACAGATTGTTCAAAAAAACCTTAAAATGTTAGGATCTACCATTTAGTAAATCATTTATCAAGTTTTGAATATTAGCTATGAAGTTGAAAACTTGTATTTCACAATTCAATTTGCCTTAAAAGACAACATTTGTAAAGTCTGATCACAGCCTAATGAATAAGAAACAGATCTTAGAATGTTACAAGACCCATATTATTTACTTGGTGGGTTTAAACGTGTCACTAATATTTAGGCACTACAAAATTTTAAAAGTTATTTAGCCCTTTGCAACTTTTTAATTCTTTTAAAAGCGATTCCTAAATATTTGCTTAGATCTGGTAAAAATCCTTTAACAAAATTACTGACTCTTAAGGTTAACTTTCTGATTGAATTTTGCATGTTTTTCTTCTTATAACAACATGTTTTAATAATAGACTTCAGTTTATGGTTAGATTGTGAGATGATTTCTACCTCAGAGTAAAATTACTTTTCTTTTCCGGTCACGAATAGTAATAAGGTCTTATTACGTCGATTACTCATTTTAAAATTTGTTGGTCTACAGTGTTTATTGCCATATATAATCATCTTAGCAGTAGTAATAGTAGGTCTATAGGGACTTGGGAAACCCTTCATGATCTCGGTTTTGGTTTTCTTCAGAACTAAGACACTGGATTTTACAGATAGGAAAACCCTTTGTATTCGGAAATGACCAGTTTGGCTTACTTGAAATTTTAAGTCATAAGACAATGTCTCAAGGATTATTCAAAAAGTTAACAATCAAACGAACGCTATTTTGCTTTGGTTTGATGGTTGCTATCAGTGCAGTGAAATTCATCTTGTGCACCTAAAAGCGGGCAGTCGTCAACTTATTTGTCTCATGTTAGCTTTAGTAACTATGCCTCTTTATTACATTTACCTATCCACTTTAAAATGCTTTTGCTCTCGTTGCATAGGCCTTACCCCTCCACTCAACTATTTAAAATGTGTGAATTCTCTAAAACTTCATTATTGGCTATTACATAACTCATTTTTTCAGGTTTCAGGTTCTAGATAATTCCTGATCGATTTGTTTCAATCTCCAAAATGTCCATCCAGTAATCTTTTCCAGATAAACATTAGCATTTTAAGTATTTACAGTTAACGACTTTTATTATGCAATATACAATTCTGTTTACTTGTTATTTTGATTGAGATCATGAATCGATCAATATCAGATCCCTATTGAAAACACGGAAGCAATAAACGGCCGTTTCATGGGTAACTGCCTCACACCCGAAGACAATGGAAGATGTTTGTGCAATATCGTGGATTGTTTGCAGTTAGATATTAACACTGTTGAGTGCCGGCTCAATGGTATAGAGGTTAGGCGTTTGCATACGAGATCAAAGGTTCTTGGTTTGAATCTTACGTGCAGGATCGTGGATGCGTGCATTTGAGAAGTCCCATGGGAGTACGAAATGGCCGTTCAGTGCTTCCAGGTTCTTGATAGTGGTATTGCATTGATTGACTCATGATCCCAATCAAAACTCAACAATCTTCACAACCCTATACTGATAGTTACTTGTTATTGTTGTAAAATTCAGACTTAGTAACAGTTAGCCTTCCACGACTTAAGTACATCAATAAGAAAATATTTACTTCCTTTTGAATCAACTATCGCTACTAAACCACCTATTCATACAACTGACTGTGGATTCATTTCTATAAAACCTACGGAAATCTAAATAAATATTGTTTGCTTAGGCATATTTGCAATGATTAGTTACCGTAATAACGAAATCAAAAATTATGGAAGATTAATAAGCTTCGTATCTCTTTGTTAATAAGAAAGCAACTAATCATTCCTTATAGAATTCATTAGTTTACTTATTCATATTCGAGCTATCGACCCTATTAAGAAATAACTGAAGATAGGTTTTTTTATAATTCTTTTTGTAGATAACAGTTGACTTTTTTTAAAACATTTAAAAGTACGATTATGCTTTGACGGTATTCAATATTATTCTGAGGTAGGACGAATATTATTTTAGTGTACATTTGGAAGCAAAAAGATCTTAGAAGACCCAGGCTAAAAAAGTAACTCTTCAGTGCTTCAAAGGTTCTCCAATAGTTTCCTGATTTATACTGATCTTTGATGTAGAAATATTCTAAAACAATAAAGTAAACAAAAAAGTTACACCCAAATATTTTGTTTTCCTTAATTAGTTGACGTTTATAAATTCGTTGCTAAGTGACGAACATAATGCTGATTCTGAAAGTAAACAGGTTACTTAATAGTACAGATGAGTCATACATTCTACCGAAGTTCGCTTTAGTTTTATGGTCAATCATAAAGGCAAAATACATAAGTCACAGCATAAGGGTCAGTTTATCATCCATTTCAGGGTCATCTTGTGATGAACTTATCGGATTCCATTCTGAGTATGTATGCAGCTGTTTAGGAGTTGGAAAATGAGGTTAACTGTAGTGAACACAAACATCAAAGGAGACAATCAAATGTATTTGAATTCAAACTTACAGAAAGTTTTAGTAAAGTCTGAGAACCATACAGTAAATACTTAATTTGAAAAATGCCAATCAATTGTCTCAAACTTGACTTTTCCTTTCGTAAATATCACTCAATCGTCTCAGATTTCATTGTTCCTGCATTTTCATGCCAGTTGCTTTCTGTTTCCGTTCTCTCCTTCTTGATCTTCTACTGAAATGCATTCTATTTCTGATTATCGTTGTATATCACTTATGTATAGATAAGTAGAACACACCACAAAACAACTGTTTGACTCCCTATAGTAATTATTTAACTTCCAAATAACCACAGTTTGTGATGGAAATAATCTAAATAATCAAACCAACTTAAAAATTCCCTGAATTCTATAATAGACTTTTTTGGGTTGAGTGATCTAAAATAAAAATTATTCTAGTCTTTATGTTGGATTCGTGATTACAGAAAGGAAGTAAGTAAGCGAAAAACGTTGTCTTTCCTTCAACAAATTTATTACGTGCATATCAAGAGCATACAAGAAATCGGTCACAAATAAAGTGAATTTGGTAATAAAATATGCTTCTCTTTATTTGTTACAGAGCAATTTTTCTTTAATATTGCTTTACTCAAGTTTTCCTCACTAATCACAC